ATATATATATATATATATATATATATATATATATATATATATATATATATATATATATATATATATATATATATATATATATATATATATATATATATATATATATATATACAGTGGCGGAACTACTGGACGCAGAACCCTGCGTTGCGGGTGGGCCTACCAGCTATAGGGAGCCCTCATATAAAAAAAGTTATACTCTCAATAATATTTGTACCATAAAACTCTTTTCCGCAAAAAAAAACATTCTTTTGTGGGGGGGGGGGGCCCAAATTTTGAAGTTCCGCCACTGTATATATATAAGTATATATATATATATATATATATATATATATATATATATATATATATATATATATATATATATATATATATATATATATATATATATATATATATACATATATACATACATATATACATACATATATATATATATATATATATATATATATATATATATATATATATATATATATATATATATATATATATATATATATATATATATATATATATATATATATATATATATATATATATATATATATATATATATATATATATATATATATATATATATAAATCAATTAATCAAATAAATTTATTGACAAGCTCGAGGCCAGTGATATTTTTGTTCGGAAAATAATTTTAGTTTTAGTTTTTATTCAGTTTAGAGGCAAAGTTTTTAGTTCTAGTTTTTATTCAGTTCATCTTAAAATAATTTTAGTTTTAGTTTTTATTTAGATCAATTTTCGTTTGTCGTATCAATTTTTTATCTCATCTAATTATAATTTAGTATAATTTATAAATAATATAGGCATATATAATTAAAAGAAGTAAGTCTTAGTTCTATAAACAAACAAAAAAATGAGAACTTAATTAAATGTAATACACCCAGTCCCATGGCTAGAAGTTTAGAGCCCCGCCCACCGCCCTTAATAAAAAACACAACAACAACCTGTCCTTATTGCTCTAAAACTTAAAAAAATTACAATTATAAGGTATAAAAAAAACTCCTCAAATTTGGTAACAATAAAAACTAATGAATAGTTATTGTATAGACTTTAATAATTACTCATATATTTTACAAATAAAGGGCCTAGTGATTATATGATTATCATCTAGACTAGATGAGAATTTAGTTTTAAGAAAACTCGCATTTCCAATGACGCTGACATTCGATTTCTCCGTCCATTTGTGAGCAAGCCACAGATTAAAATAAGTCTTTCAACATATGCTTGAGTTGCAGGAGCTGCAATGAGGTCTTCAGCTAATGGTGCAATATGTGGGTAAACAGCACGTCTCATCTTCCAGAAATTTAAAGCATTTTGGCACATAGAGCTGTTCCTTATTTCAATAAAATATTTGTTGAGTTCATTTTGTGCTTCATTACCTGGAATAAGCTTTATTTTTTCTACTCGCTGTTTTGCCGCTAAAAATTTCCATTTTGTTAATCCATTTATTTCTGGAGCAATCTCAACAGAAAGAGTAGATGCACTTGCTAAAGGTAAATCATGTTGCACCGATTTTTTAGCCTCTGACAAAATGTATTTCTTTGCACACTTTCTGATTTGTGTATGCTCATTACCTAAAAGAGCTATTGCACATGTGGGGTCAAGTAGACATGCGGCACATGGCAGTGGATTAAAATTAGGATCGTTTGGCTGCAAAAGAACGTCAAAACGACGGCGTAGATCTTCAAGCAATTTAACTGCTACATCTTTGGCATATCCAAATTGCTCAAGGTGACATTCTAAATTAAGTATTGAAGGTATAACACTGGATAGTGAAAGTGCATCCGTCTGAAGAATATCAGTTTCATTGGCAAAACGTTCTAAAAGATTAACAAAATCCTGAAGCATTATCCATTCGCTATTGGCAAGTGAATCAATGTTAAGGTCTCCAAGCACTTCGTTGATAGATGTCTTTATTTCCAGAAATCTCCGAACCATAAAGTAAATGCTGTTCCATCTTGTAGAACAGTCGCTAATCACAGTCTTACCACATTTGTTGATAATTTTTTCCAATGCAACAGAAGATTTGCGAACTTTTCCCACTAATCCACGTACCTTCAAAAGTAAGCCATGATATTTACCATCATATGCAAGTTTTACAACTAGCTGTATAACATGTGCAATGCATCCCAATCTTCTAAATGCTACGTTTTCTATTACATCAACTATCAAGTCAACATGTTCCCACTCTTCACTATTTGTCATATTCTCATCGTCTTCCAGATCTGTTATCTGCTCTTCATTAACCTCACTTTCTAATTCAATAAGTATATCACGTTCAGCTTGAGCTTTCATTCTCGACAACTTTATGCCTTTGACCATGTTTGCTCCATTGTCCGAAATAACAAGCAATATTTTTTCTCTGGAAATATTCCAATATTTTAGGCATTTTTCAAAACAATTAGCAATTTGTTCTCCTGTATGTGGATTTTTCACAAGATACAAATTAAGCAGAGCATGTATTGGTTTTTCGGATTTGAAGTGAAAAAAACAAACCGAAATTCCTAAAAAAGGACGCAGTAAGACCTTTTTTAGTCCAGCCATCAAGGCATATTGTGAAGCGCCTGCCTTCAGATATGAAGTCACGAAGTTTTCTCGTTAAAACAATAAATTCTTCATTAAGTAGACTAGTAATTTTGGCAGAAGCAGGCAATGAAAATTTATAATCCAAGGTATTAACTAACTTTCTAAAACTCGCATTATCCACCAATGTCACTGGATTACATGTTGCAATTATCATTTGAATAAGAGAGTTTAGTCGAATTTTATGCTCGTGTGAATTAATAGGCCATGCGGTATTCCTACGATTAATGCATTGAATCAAGGTCTGGTTCTGATTTGAGGACGATTCTAAAAGAGTGGGTCCATTTTCATCCACTGCTTTTCTCTTGATCCCTGTTTGCTTTTTTTCACTTAATTTCTTTAATTCCGACTCTTCCAGCTCAACGTGTACAGACTTATGGTTTCTTGCTAAATGTAGCTAGAAATAAATAAACATATTTTTATAATTTTTTGTTTGTATATTTATATGTTTATTTATCTATCTGTTTATCAATTAATGTATAAATAAGTTCGTATACGTTATTGAATAATTACTCTAAAATGATAAAAATGAGTCGTTTGTTTCAAAATGAAAACATATCCTCTAACAGATAAACTAACTTTAAGATTTGTTGGGTTCTTTCCACACAACTTTGTATTGCATACTTTTTCACCATCAGGTAAAACTAAACATACTGATTTGTCGGATGACGCATCGTATTTAAACCATTTCCATACTGAACTATTCCTCTTCCTACCAGCAAAAAGTTTACTCAAACTCATCGCGTAGTTGTGTTGGTCTTACAGTTTGATTTTTTTTAGTTCGAAAAAATATATTCGAATAAATATATTCGAACTATATCATAACTAAACTTATTCGAACTTAATTGAATAAAATTCAATTAAGTTCGAATAATATATCATTATAATGTATTTTAATATAAAAATTATATATATCAAATAATTCAACTCGTTTCAAATCTAAGACGAAAATATTTCGTTTTAAAATAATTTTCGATTCAGTTTTTATTCCGTTTGAAAATTTAAAATTATCGTTTTTATTCTGTTCTCGTTCTTAAAATAAATTTCGTTTTAGTTTTCGTTTTCGTAAACGAAAGGCTTTTTTTATATAATATTTTTTATATAATATTTTATTCAACCATATCAATAAAAATTACAAATTTCATCGTAAATTAATATAAATTGGTTAGGTGTCACTCATACAGGGTAAAGTAGGGTAATTTCGGCAGGGAGATAATTTCGGCACCACTTCAAAAGACACCTAAAAATATTTATTTAATGAAATATCAAAACTATAATTGAGTATTACAGAAAGATAAACAGTTTTTCTAAAAATATTGATTTAAACTTCTATTTTTACATTATAGGTACGTTATTTTATGATTATTAGCTTTTTCTTAACATTTTTTCCTTTTAGAAAATAGAAGATAAATGATTTTTTCCGAAAATTTCTACCAAAAATTTGTATTTATTTCATTTTAAAATATACACTGAACAAAATGTGAGCAACACTAAAATTAAACTCAAAGTATTTTACAAGATAAAAGAGTTTTCCCAAGGACTGCTTTAAGGAGATAATTTCGGCTTATAAATAGTTCTTAATTTCGGCAGTGCCGAATTTGCCGACCTGTTGTTTCTCCAAAACTAAAATGGAAATAAGCGTTTCAAATATTATGTAAAGAAGAAATTGATTTTAGTAACTCAGATAATATTAAACTAATAACGAGTTAGTAAAAAAGTGAATTTAGTTAGTGTCACTGTGAAACTTATCAAAATAGTAGTTCCCCACCATATATTTTAAATTTATGTCATACATAACAATATGTATATAAATTATATACATATAAAAGTATGTATATAATTAATAAATGATTTGTTATATACAATAATAATTATTGTATATAATAAATTATAAATTTATTATATTATAATAAATTTATAATTTGTTATATACAATAATTATTATTGTATATAACAAATCATTTATTAATTATATACATACTTTTGAATATTATTGAATAATATACATAGAATAATAATATATATATATATATTTATATAAATATATATATATATATATATATATACATATATATATATATATATATATATATATATATATATATACATATATATATATATATATACATATATATATATATATATATATATATATATATATATATATATATATATATATATATATATATATATATATATATATATGTATATATATATATATATATATATATATTTATATATATATTATATATATATATATATTATATATATATATATATATATATATATATATATTATATATATATATATATATATATATATATATATATATATATATATATATATATATATATATATATATATATATATATATATGTAAACATTATTTTACAGCATCATATAATGAGTTCAAAACGTGTAAAATATGGTAATTGGTCACAAGAATCATTAAAAATGGCAGTAAATGCAGTTTTAGTTGATGGTTGCTCGAAATATTCTGCTGCTAAACAATATAAAATACCAAGACAAACACTACATGACTATATAAAACGAGCACCTGTTGATAATTTTGTTAAAAAGTTACGTGCAAGACACCCAACAACACTCTCAGCTTTTCAAGAAAAAGAGCTCGTAGAAGTTCTTCTGACCATGTCACAGAGATTGTTTGGTTTGTCTCCAAAAGATGTAAAACAAATGGTATTTCAGTTTTGTGAAGAAAATAGAATTATTCGCAAATTTAATTGTGAAATTAAGTCAGCAGGAAAAGAATGGTTTAGGGGTTTTTTGAAACGCCATAATGAACTCTCTGTCAGAGTTGCTGAGTCAACGTCATTGCATCAAGCCATTGGTTTTAATAGAATAAAAGTTAATCGTTTTTACGATGAACTAGAAAAAATAATGTTTAATGCTAATAGGATGCAGATTATTCCACCATCAAACTTATTCAACGTAGATGAATCTGGATTGTCTATTTGCCATAAACCAGGAAAAATTGTTGCTCTTAAGGGAAAACACAGTGTTGGTGGCTTAACAAGCTCCGAAAGAAGTAAAACAATCACAATAGTTTGTTGCCAATCAGCAAGCGGGTTTTTTGTCCCTCCGATGTTGATCTATCCACGTATTCGAGTGAAACCTGAATTTTTAGATAAAGCCTTAATAGGTTCTATTTCTGGTGGCAGCAAAAATGGCTGGATAACAACTGAGTTGTTTGAAATATGGTTTGATCATTTTTTACAAGCAGTCCAGCCTCAGTCAAGAAACCAACCAGTTCTTCTAATTTTAGATGGACATTTAAGTCATAAAAAAAATCTTAGTGTTATTAAAAAAGCGCACCACTCAAAAGTTATTATTTTATCACTTCCATCCCACTGCACCCACAAACTGCAACCACTTGATGTTTCGTTTTTTAAAAGCCTCAAAATATTCTATGATCAGGAGGTTAGTACTTGGCTTCGTCACCATCCTGGTCGTCCCGTAACTGAACTAGAGGTTGGTGAATTATTTGGAAAAGCCTATGGGAAAGCTGCAACTGTTCAAAATTGTCAGTCAGGGTTCAAAAAATGTGGAATATATCCATATGATAGAAATGTGTTTACTGAAAAAGACTTTGCTGCAGCCAAGGCTACTGATCACACGTATGTTGTATCAAAAATTTCAAAACCAAATAATACCTCTGAAATGCACCCTACTCTCAACAATGGGTTAGACTCTGCTAAAGAATTAGATAATATTGATTTTGTTACAGATTGTGTTATTGACACTCAAAAAGGTAAATCGTCATAAATGTTGTATTATTTTTAACATCTTTCGCATTTTATTTAAAATAGAAATATGACTTTTTTAAAATCAAGCAAAATATTAACTTATCTGTTGTTTTATTAACCTAAAAAAAGGTTTCTTAAAGAAAGTTTAAATTTTTTAAAAACGTTTTAACTATTTCTTATAATTTGCGTGTTGCCTATTTTTATTCACCCTCTTTAGTTGAATAATTTTTATTTAGAATCTATTTCACCAAATTCATCATTTACACTTCAGAAGTCATCAGAATTAGCCACCTCACACGATGAAACCTCGCAACCTTATGGTGTTACATTTGGATCACTAGCTGGACTTGCTGTAGATGGTGGCGTGAAACATGTGCTGCTATATGTGGTGTTTATACTAAAAAAGTATTTACTTGTGATGACTGTATAAAGCACTGATTCTTAAAAAAAAAGTTATATGTCATATATTGATAAAATGTGTTTTAACTTTCTTAAATAAATCTCTTATTAAAAAAGTTTCCTTTGAGTTTTGTTTTTTATTTTTTAAGTTTAACTATTGAAGTTATGTAAAATATTATTTTATGAACTACTTATGAGCTTATAAACATAAATTCTTATTTAAACAGAATTTAGAAATAATCATCGAAATCGTAGAAATTAGTAATCGTTTCATTAACAATTATACTTTGGAAGCACATTTATATTTAATAAGGTTTCTGTTTTGGGTGACATTCATACCTTAATAAAAAAGGTGACATTCATACTTTAAAAATACATGACATTCATACTTTAATAAAATAAATAGGTGGTTCAAAAATTATTATTTTTTGCAACTGAAACGCCCTTAATTAAGTGCCAATTAGGTGTAACAAATTCTATTTAAGAGACAATTCTTTATACAATCCAGATTTATAGCTGTTTATAATATTTTAAATATATTAATGCGTTTTCAACAAACTTCTTAATTTTCATAACTATGCCGAATTTACCGTACCATAGTGCCGAAAATACCATACTAGGTCGCTAATTTCGTCATTTTTGAGTATTTTGTAAAACAGGTTTTACGTAAAACTTTCTAAGTTGGAAACAATTTTTTAACTATTATTTAATAGATATATCTGCAGTGCATCGATATGCATGATTTTTTAACATTATTAAAGCAACCGTTGTCTATAAACAGCAAAATAGCTTAATACGCCGAAATTACCCTACTTTACCCTAGTTACAAACTAGTCAATGGAGTGACACCTAAAAAACATAAAAATTTCACGAAAAAATAAATAAATAGAAAGAAAAAAAAAAAAAAGGAAACTAAAGTAAACAAAAAAAACAAAAAAAAGGAAAAACTCAATATCTGTATATATAAATAATAAAGAAAAGAAGAAAAGATTGTTAAACAAATAATAATGATATATGTAATAATAATAGTAATAATACAAAATAATAACAATAACAATAAAGTACCAATAATATTAAGAATATTATAATACAATATAAATTGTATGTACAAATCATAGATGATAATTAGATATAATAATAACATAAAATGTAACATTAATAAAACAATAATAAATAAATATAAGATTGGTAAATAATAAATAAAATAAAAATCAAACCACAAGACAACTATAGTACAGAGAGAAATTATAAAGAAATACACTCCAACAATATATTTTTAAATTGAATTCTGTTGAGCAGTAAAAATTTCGTAACAAGTGGATATTTTTTCTTAGACTTTTTTGTTAATGCAGGAATACACTGGTTCCATTGAGAGATACATTGTTGTTTTATGGAAAACTTACCATATTTGATTGTGCTGAAAAAAGAATAGTATAGCTTACTATTTTCTGTATTCCTGGTGTGATGATTATGAACTTCGTTTGTTTTAATAAAAAAATTTGAAAAAGGGCTTGGTAGTTTATTTTGGAGAAAGTCAAACACAAAAAGACAATTGTAAAACTTTACAAGATTATGGAGTTTTAGGATTTTTAGTTCAGAAAACTTTTTTTCGATATCAGATCTCATTGGGGAAAACGTCATTATTCTAATAGATGCGCGTTGTAAACTAGCAATGTTGTTAAGTAAAAAGTTTCTTTTTTGACCCCAAGTTTTTTTTCGTTCTCGTTTTCGTTCTCGTGTACGAAAATATCACTGCTCGAGGCTCAATATATAATAATAAACAACAATTTAATATTTTGCCGAACGCAAGATAGACTTTGCGAAAAGGTCTATTGTACACCATGTTCTGTTAAGTAATCAATATATTTATTAAACTCGAACTCATTTTTTAAATTTAAAAAAAAAAAAAAAAAAATTTTCTCAATTTATTTTTAAAATACAAAAAAAAAATACTATATACAATATATAAAAAATAAAAAAAATACCCTATGCTATTTCAATCTTGATATAAGGTTCTGTTAACCATTGCTGGTGCTTTTCTTCAATTTTACGCTGTATGCGTTCTTTGAGTTCGTCAAATTTATCAATAGGCATATAAAATGACACCAATAGTTTATCAATAGGCATAAAATGAGAAATCAATATTAGGCATATAATATAATCAATATCAATGAAAAATCAATAGGCATAAAATCAATAGGCATAAAATGACATCAATAATTTATCAATAGGCATATAAATGACACCTTTTTCAGAAGTCCTGGAGAATATATAAGCAAAAACAATCAAACAGACTCCATAGTTATAGATACAACAAGCGATTATAATTTTGTCAGTGACTAACCGCCTGCTATTATTTCTGGAAACAACGCGTTTCAAATTACCGTTAATTTTGTCAACGATATTGAATTTAACGGTCTGCTTATTTTTTATCTTCAGCATCCGTCAGCTATGATTCAAACTGAAACAGGAGAAGAGGAAAATTATACTTATGTTCCAGCTAAATTTAAATCATCTTAAATTTGCAAATTAAAACATTTTTATTTTAATCAAATTGACCATGTAAAACTTTTTTTTTTATAAAATACACAAATGGCTATTTATAATTAAAAAAACATTTTTTTTTACATATTTATAAAAAAAAATAAGCCTTTTTTCTACTATCCAATCTATGAATTATTTGTATGGCTCGAAAACGTTGCAAGCGTTGTAAAAAACATAAACGATCGCATCGAGGTGGAGGAAAAACTTTTACAAGAATAAAAAATTTTGCTAAAGGTCTTCTCAAATCTGATCTTGGAGGACAAGCGCTTCAATATTTACAAAATCAACGTAATGCATAAAAAAAGAGGAAGAGTTTATTTACTCCGTTATTATATATATATATATATATATATATATATATATATATATATATATATATATATATATATATATATATATATATATATATATATATTGTATATATAATAAATATGTGTATATGTTTTATATACATATACATACATACATATTTTATATATATATATATATATATATATATATATATATATATATATATATATATATATATATATATATATATATATATACAAATTTATGTGTACAAAAAATAAATAACATTAACTTAAAAACACAAAACACTATAAAAAACTTCCGAGATTTCCGTAAAAACGGGGGTGAGTTAGGTGTTAATAATAACAATACAAGATTATGATTTATAAACACAAAAAAAATTGTACTTTAAATAAAGAATTATTAAATTTTATATTTATATAATTTTTTATGAAGTCAACAAAACTATAGTGTTTAACATTTAGGGAAAAACACATTGTTGTTATACGCCATTCTAATAATTTCCGGAGGTTAAAAATCAAGTAATGTTATACCGTTTATTATATTTTATAGCATATTAGGCCCCCTTGTATTTTTAACATTTTTTTTCGTTTGCTCGAAAAAATATATTCCGTGAAGTTGTTCTGTAAACTCAGAGTTTGCGAAAAGGTCTATTAAAAAAGCGTATAGAATACAAGTATTACAATATTAAATTATTGGATTCATCACAAAAGATAATAAGGGATTAAATGTAGATCATCACAAAAGATAATAAGGGATTAAATGTAGATCATCACAAAAGATAATAAGGGATTAAATGTAGATCATCACAAAAGATAATAAGGGATTAAAGATAAAAAAGATTATTCTTATGATTCAGCGCAAGAAAAAAATTATATTTACAAAAATGTGCGATTTTTGAAAGGAATTTATCGTATTATACGCGATTTAGCAAATAGATATTTTGAAGTTCCAATCACTTGCAGAACTCTTGTAGAAAGAGTTTTTTTGGAAAGCGATACAAGTTTTACGAACGTTATATTGTTATTTTATTATTGTTAACTATTTTGAACAAAAAGAATGGGTTTGCGTTAAATTTTTTATGGAAATGATAAAGAAATTAAGATATCTTGTTTTTATTGTACAGTCACCGCTTTATTTAAATAAAGATAAAAAAAGATTATGAGAAAATAAATGATATAGTTGTTGTAAAAACATATTTATTATAAATAAAAAAAAAAACAAAATTAAAAAAAAAAAAATTTTAATATTTTCCTTGCGTCGGTTGACACGCTTCTACATAAGTTGGAGGAGCTTCGGGTAAAGTAGAGAGTCTTGAAGGAGGTAATATTTCGGGCAAAGTAGAGAATGTCGAAGGTAGTAAATAGATAGTAGAGGGTACATACAATTTACCAGTTTCTAACGAACTTTTAAAAAAACGACAGTTTTTTTTCATCATAAGGTAAATTTTGATATTTGGTCTGCAAGTCATTTCTTCCAATGAGCGGTAAACAACTTATTAAATAACGCAACTTACCTTCCATAGTTGTATATTCATGTCCTCGAATTTTAGGCGAATAGATACAAATATAATTGATAAGATCCATACCTCCTTTGATTTTTTCAGCGCAACTGGGAATTTCTATGCAATACTTTAATGATTTAACTTTGTCTGATTCTTTTTTCGTTAGAAAACGCTATCAAATCCTCCA